TTGTACTTCCCTATCATGGTCCGCTTGACGCTTACCAATACAGATTAAGTTGCAGATACGTAATTTTATTTGATTTACCTAATTGATAGATAAAAATTTAGACGAGAAAGCCGGAACTGTGTCACACACTGACACTGCGTGACATTGGTTTGTGTTACGTGCATGTGCGTTAACGTACTATTACATAAATATGCCTTTAAAATTTGTTAAAATTAGCTACGAAACTTGGTTATCCTATAAAGCGGCAAACATTACAATTCGTGGCGTCTCCGGGAACTCATGTACACCAATTGGTGAAATTACGGCTAGCATAAAATCCAGATTAAACGCGTTTAAAGCCAGTCTTCAGTTTTTTATAATGCAGAACGTGGCAGGTACACTACCTACAGTATATCCCGAAGAAAACATAATGAAGGTGATTAACAGCAAATAATACGCAGATCTGGATGTATGTTCAACGCGCAAAATCGATATGATTGTGGGAGCTCAAGTGTTCTTTCGACTTCTATGTGTTGGACAAATTAGACCCGCAGGCACTGATGCCATTTGGAAAAAAACAGTTTTTGGTTGGATTTTGTCAGGGCATATAACTTCTATAAACCCAATGCACTGTTTGTCGGCGACAGCAAGCACATTCGATCCAACCCAAAGGCAAGTTCAAAAATTCTGGTAGCTAGAAGAGGTTGTACGGTCGTGGCCAGTTCAAGGGTTTTCAACGGAAGAAAAAAGATGTGAAGAACATTTTCTAAACACCTATCGGAGAGAGGAGAATGGTCGATTCACATTAGAATTACCGTTTAAAGAAAATGTAAGGCAGCTGGGAGAATCTCGAGTGATGGCGGAAAAACGGTTTTATACGATGGAACAAAAAATTGATAAATATAAATATAAATCTGGAGATATTTTGTATTGGAGATCATTTTGACGGAGATATTTTATACTGGAGATATTTTGGTAGAGATATTTTGACGGAGATATTTTTAATGGAGATATTTTGACGGAGATATTTTATACTGGAGATATTTTGGTAGAGATATTTTGACGGAGATATTTTTAATGGAGATATTTTGACGGGTCACCGAAATTTTCACTGGTTGTTTATATTTGCATTTTCTATACATGATAACATTTTCAAAATATTTTGATTTATTTTGAACTGTTTAGGGACATTTTCATTTTCCAATTTTCATTTTCCATTTTTTTTTTAGTTTTTTTTCTAAAAATATCAATAAAATTTTATTTGTTAGTTGCGAAAGCTTGAAAATTTAATAGAAGGCTAATAATATATTGTTTCAAAGGCAGATGAAAAATATTAAAAATCCTTAGTCACAATTTTTTTTTATAAGCATTTAAAGTTCAAAAATTGTAAAAATATGGAAAAATCACGAAAATTAGCGAATTATTTTGAGTTAAGAATTCGTAAAAATTTTTCTTTTTAAATCTAAGATTTGAAAATGTAATACAAGATTACTCATAAGTTTGTCTACCTTTATCAATAAAAAAATCTCTACCGAAAGTCAAATTAAATTTTTATGAGCGTTTGAAATTCAAATTTTTACAACATTGGATGTTGACTCGATTTCTCATGTAGCGATTTCCTTATTTTGTTGTAATTCAAAAACGAATAACTGTAGATACATGCAAATTTCACTGAATGTTTATATTATCATTTCCACCTATACACCATACAATTTTGAAAATATTTTGACTCTTTTTGAGCTGTTTATGGACATTTACAGCTTTCAATTTTTTTTTATTTTTTTTTTCTATGAATATCAATAAAGTTTTATCTGTTGGGCCAAAAAGTGTAAAAATTTAATACAAGGCTCCTGATATATTGTTACAATAGCAATTGAAAAATATTAAAAATACATATTCACAGTTTTTTTTTATAAGCATTTAAAGATCAAATTTTGACAAAATTTATCAAAATCTCGAAAATTATCAATCATTGTAATTAATAAATTATAAAATGTTCAGCTTTTATAGCTAAGGATTGCAAATTCAACACAAAGGTTCTCGTAAATAGTTCATACTGTAACCAAAAAATTTAAAAAATATATGAACACAGTTATTTTTTACAGACATTTTAAATTCAAATTTGGACGAAATTACATATTAACAAACCTAGAATAACTATTTTAATTATTTTGTTGTGATTGAATAATATTATTCGTGGGTACCTACTTGAAACTTCTAAAGTGTACTATTATATATCTATGATAGTATCACGGTTTTTGTTGATGTATAACGCGTTACCAGTACCTAATGGATATTGTGATATGAATAATTTGGAATTTATTATAAGTACCTATTATAAGTCAATTTTTTGTTTAATACCATAGATTGTATATAATATGTCTTATACATAGACTGACATACCGTCTCCGCTCAGAATCGTTTTTCTTATACAATGATATTATATCGTTGAATTCAAATTTAATATCATCCATTATACAGTGACCCACTTGTAACCTACTGTACAGCAGAGCGACACCCACTTGCCCACCTTTTTTATTTTGCAACGTTTATATAATATTAACGACCACCACTTACCTCGCAACGCTTGTTTCTCTTTTGGATTAATTAATAATAACCGAACTATGAATTAACAAACACTGTGCATGTGTGTGTGCTACGATATGACGTAACCGAACGACCGTCGACCTAACGGATTGGCGATCAACGACGACGGCGAATTCGCACACCTAGTTCGAACTCGAGATTATTATTTCGGTAATATTATATTGTAAATTATAATCATTAGGTAAAATAAAAATAGCTACTATTTTTACTAAATCCAGTCGTACGTAGTACGTACAAAAATCCAAGTAACCATTGAAATTTAAAATATATCTAATATATATAAAATATATATCTGTGGCTGTCACCGACCAACATAATATAATATTTTATAATACGTAATATAATTATTATGTCATATTGACGCGGCCCGATTATAATATATAATATATAATATAACAAAACAACACTAGGTACCATGACAATATTTATTTATTTACAGACATGTACGCTTTCGAGTTCGTACGGCCGCCCGTTCGCTTTTTTTTTCCTCACTACCCTGCGTAAAGAAGTATAACTTCAAAAGTTTCATACTATACATTTTTCATTATAAATTGAAAGGTAATTAGCAGAGGTAATTTAAAAAAAATTTAGTTTGTTATAATAGGAATTTATTTTGGATGGTTTTTCATGGTTTTTTTTTTTTTTTTTTTGACTAATAGATATATACGAAATTACTATAGATACTTATAATTTAAACTTTGATTTGGAACATTACATAAAAAAAAACGTTTTTTGGTATAATAATGGGTTATATGTTTACCTATAAACGGGCCTTTTTAACAGCCGTACGTCATAACATAAGAAAGAGGTACCTAAAGTAGGGACCTAATTATAATATTACATTTTTATAGCATTATTATTATAACTAATTAGGTACAATAATTGTATTTATTATTGACTATTGTGTTACATTTTATTATTTTATAGACTTCTATTAAATTAAATTTTATTATATTTTAATATGTTGAAACGGCACGGTCACGATGGACCGGCGTCCGAAATAATAACGCTTGGGTTTTTTGTTATTACATCTTATCCTGTATTTTTACACAAATATATTTTGTACAATGTGGGGGCAGCGAGGATCACGGGTGTGACGGTTGGTCTATGTAGACGGACCGTCGCGGTGAGACCTCGGCACGGCCAGCAATTGCTAGGCCCTAATTACAAATATGAAGGGAATGTTTGGGGGGGGGAAACGGACGATAACAGTCGCCGTATGGACGGGGTCAGTATACCACGGCGCGTGACTCGTAAGAAGCGGCTACTGTGATATACTAGACCCGGGTTTCGACACAACTTGATCAAGTGGCCGTAGGAGGGGACGTATGGGTGGTGTTTTAGTCTCCGACTGTTTGAGTCGACGGCGACGGTGGATACCGGCGCAACGCGGCAACTGCTTGGCTCCTGGTACTCCGTGCGGCGGGTACTTGCCGGTCGGGAAGGCGTGTGTGCGGCTGGTTCTCCGAGTACGACGCCGTGGGCGTATTGAAATGCCGTCTACCTCGACGTGGTTCTCCTGCCGGTTGCGTGTGGCGGTCGACGATTGGCTGCGGTTTTGAATGATTCGGGCTTGAGTCGACTTGTGGCCGGCGTTCGTCGTTCACGATATCCCGCTGGTTGTCGGCGACTTATGGCGGCTTCGTGGATCGTCAGGTCTTCGGGTCTTCACTTCTTCTGGTGTTGAGATGTTGAAGGTTGGTGTGTTGATAGAAGACTGATTATCGGTGCGGTGAAAAAGTCCGGTATATATACCCGGCCCCGTACCGACTAGTAAACTCCCGTGTTGCCGCCGCTGTCGTTGTGTTTAGGTTCTGTGCGGGAAGTGGTGTCGTCCGCACAGTTTTGGGGCTCTAGGTATGGGGATGGTTTTGTTCGATGGGTCTTGTTCTCACCTTTGGATCCCTTGTATTCCAGAGTGTGGAACAACCCCGGACCCTCGTACTGAGGGCTCAAAGTCATTCCGCCGGGCTGTGCTACCGTTCTGGGCCCTGATTGGTGGACCGTTTTATATGTATGACGGTGTACTGTTACAACACCCCCCTCGGATTAGTGACCAGGTGGCTGTTTGAGCGAGTTGGTAACTAATTCTAATCCGGAAGTGCATCGTCGTACTGATGGCTTGTGTAAGGTGCGGCGTAATCTGTTGCATGAGAGATACCTCGTCTTGATTGTCGAATAGTGTTTTTGGTTTCTCGTAGTTGGCTAACTGTTGTGATGCATATAAGTGAATTGGGTTTTTTTTTTTTTTCATCTTTGCTTCAGCAGTTTTCTTCCTTAAGTTGTTGGGTGTGATTCAGTCACTAGTTGGGCGCCAGTTGAAACGGCACATTTATAAACTGTAAAAGGAACAATATTATTATCTATGCTTGTCTTGGAGTGCTTAAGCTGAACTTATGAATTATCTAATGTGATTATTTAGCTTGAAAAATAAGATGAGACTTTTGATTCATAAACACCAAGTTAAGATTAGAGCTAAGACCCACATTATCGATATACAACAATTTAGCTTCATTTTGCTTAGAGTATTTGACTACAACTGCAGTACCAGATACACGAACAGAATGAGACTCATTGTCAGATTTATCACTTTTCAACATCACTTGACATGTAACATCCACATGGATGTACTTTGTCACTGTTACTCCATTTGTGCTTTTTACAATACATTGTTGATTCTCAATTTGAGGATTATCACTGCGGAACACTGTGGCTTCACCAATACGCTGAGTGTCGTCCATGACATCGAACTTCATGCCACAAAATACAGCTTGAGGTTCAAACCCATAACCCTCTGGATACGAATCACTCCAGAAAAAGTTGGTGTTATTGTTGAGACTATGGCTGTCAGGTTTAAATGTCATACGTTTTCCATATCCTATTCCAATGTTGACCAATTGTAATGCATTGCCTTCAAACAAATAATTCTTATGCCCTGTTGGCGAACTTTATAATGAAAACCAGGCATGATTCTTGGGTCAACATAAGTACCAATCACAGGCAATTCGTATGGTTCTAAGCCTGTCATTGTGTACATAGTGGGTGCATCGCCAATACTACATCCATTTAACACCAATTGCCGTTGTTTATCATCTACACCAGGTATTAAGGTGTAACCTCGACATGTTATAAAACCAATAGAGGCATCTGATATCTTTATAAGCTTTGCTGATCCACGTGGTAGTTTGGAAGCCACAGCAATACCAGTGACTGGTGTTATTGCAGATGAATCTTCTTTATAGAACCAATCTACTTTGCACAACATGTTGACTTCTACATTTTTCCTCACCTCTCCATTCTCTATTACTTCATGATTGATTTCTTTCTGAGCATTCGGGATTTTAGTAACTTCTATTGTAGCCACAGCAACATTGTTTGCATCAAAAACTGTGAAGTTGTCTCCAACAGATACAACATGTACTTGAAATGCATAACCAGAAGGCATGGAATCAGTCCAAAAATAATTTTCGTTATCATTCAATAATCCTGGACTAGCTTCAAATGTTAAACGTCTAGAATAACCACGGCCGATGCTCATTAATTCCAATGCTCTGTTATCAAATAAGAATCTTGTACGCTCTTTATTTTCAATTGGACGGACTTTGTATTTAAATCCAGGAACAATATTTGGATGGATCCAGACACCAACAGCAGCAAACTCATATGGTCGTAATAATTGAACTGAATATTTGGCAGGAAAATCATTGAGCTCAGCTCCATCCAAGTTAACCACAGAAGTTTCTTCAATACTCCAATCAGAATTATTAGAATTTGCAGTTTTTAAGCTACTGAATGCAGATTGAACACTAATTTTTTCTGGACCAGAGGTATCAGCAAGCTCTTTTTCCAAGTAACGAGCTTCATCTCTGGGTTTCACTCTATCCCCAAGTAATTCTCCATCAGTAGGCTGGTTATCAAATGATGATGCACATTGACCCTGGTCCAATATCTCATCCCGCATTTCATGCATGTGACCTAAGATCGTACCCTGACGCTTGGCCCACAATCGTTGCAAACCAGATTGCATGATTTCAGCATTTACGCCTTCCATTGAAGAAATGCAGCCAAATAAAGAATCTATATATTGAGCACACTGTGTAGTGTGTGAAACGTCGTCCGCACAGTTTTGGGGCTATAGGTATGGGGATGGTTTTGTTCGATGGGTCTTGTTCTCACCTTTGGATCCCTTGTATTCCAGAGTGTGGAACAACCCCGGACCCTCGTACTGAGGGCTCAAAGTCATTCCGCCGGGCTGTGCTACCGTTCTGGGCCCTGATTGGTGGACCGTTTTATATGTATGACGGTGTACTGTTACAACACCCCCCTCGGATTAGTGACCAGGTGGCTGTTTGAGCGAGTTGGTAACTAATTCTAATCCGGAAGTGCATCAATGTTATTTAAGTAAGTACTTAACATTTTTTATGATATTATATGATTTTTTTATGTAACTTTAATGTCTTTTTCAATACACTTTTAACATATTTATACTTCAATTTTTTCATATTTCCATATTTTTCCTAGGGTGGAACTTTTTTTACCGGGACTTTGTTTTTCGAGATTCAGCCATGACATTGGTGATTGTACTGTAGTGTTATATAACCATGGTTAAAGCACAGAATAAGTTTAATCTGTTCTGTGGTTAAGGTATTTAATATGAACACTGATGTAAACAAATTCGAGAAATCATCCTACGATACATCACGGTTATAGTAAAATTGTGGTAGGGTTGAAAGCATTTGATTACAGGAGGGTGGTAATAAAACGTACGGACAATTGGGGCACTAAAACTTCTGCTGCCCTGGGGCCCAAAAATTTTAGTTGCGACACTGCCAAAGAGTAAAGAATAATTATGAACGGAAGTCAATCGTACATACGATAAGTTTTGGTATACTGAGTCCCGAGTCATAGGTGTGTATAGAATATTATATTGACAGATGTGGCTTACAGGCACAAACATTATTTCCTGTATCGTTCTATTCATCCTAATAAAGCGTCGACGATAAGATGTCTAGGGCTCTGAAATCTGAATCCACAAAAATTGACTCGTCGACGATACGCGATTTAAATATTTTTACCAGCGTGATTGTAATTAAAATATTTTAATATGTTATTTAAATTAACTTATAATTCTGGGAGAAACTGATTTCAGTGATTTCACACACTTATGCCACAGTACAGCATTGCGTTGAGCGTTCACACGACACTCGCACTAAGCACAATTTTTAGATTCTGAGTGAAACGATGAATGTATTGATTTTACAATAAATACTTTTAGAACTCGGCCAATAACTTTAATTATTATTAATAACACAATACGTTCCTAATTTTTCAATCGTGAAGCATTGCGAAGTTATAAATTAATTTACTATACAGAAAACATGTAGCCCAAAATGTATTTAATTTGAAATTGTGATATAAATAAAATACCTTAGTTTAATCCTCGATTGCTTGCTTAAATTTTGAAAAGTCACATCAAATGTATTTTACATATTAATTTAAACATACTCCCATAATTAATTATATGATGGGCTGGACGGCATAAAAAATGAATTAATTTAATGTCGTACTAAAATTGAATGGACAGACTAAATCATTTTTAAGTGTCAGTTAACTCACTATATTGATTCCTTAAAACTTTAGTGATTGTTTATGTGACCCTACTAATGTCCTGCTAATGATGTATTATATAAACATATAATACATATAACAATTTATATGAAAAATTATTTACTTAGCATAAGTCAATTAGTATAATCAGTATATTATATTATTAATATTGTTTGTCTATTTTGGTGAGGAAGTTTTTTTTTATGTAAAGGCTTAAATAAAGGCCTTAATTTCTTGGACATCAGCCTGTGTTTACAATATTTACATAACAGTAGCATACAGGGAGGAAATAACTGATTTTAAAATGTTTGTTATTATTTTTACAAATATAGAATTAACGCTTATATCTTGTACCTATTTATATTCTGGCTTATTCAGGTAAAGTATATTGTATGCTATATGATAACGAGGTATGTTTTTGGAAAATGTACATCATATTATATTTGTTACAGTAAATGTAGCTACCATTGTTTTATTGTATGTACGCAACTAATTGATAAAAAAAAAACTATTTCACCAGCGCAAGTTAAAAAAACTCACTATCGAACGATGGGGTGCTTTATACCTTTTTGGCTGAATGATTGAGAGCACTAAAATTCACAAAGAACTCACCACTGACCTAAAAATCGAATACGATTGAGAACGATCACGTTGCAATTTCATTTAATTGGCTATCGATTGATACAGCACGTTGTATTTTTTTAAACTGAAAATCAAAGTGAACAGAAAAATAGTAATAATAATTTATAATATATTGTTATAATAAGGTTTAATAAATATATATAATATAAATAAAATAATGAGGAATAAAAAAGTATTAAAAATATAATTCTCAATCTTCTTTCGCCGCTTCAACTTGCAACCATTCTGCTAAAATATTGTAACATTGTAATATTTTAAATTTTATATTTTATAGTATAAATATAGAATTTCGTTATTGCAAGAAAGTAATAATATACCTATGTTATAAATATAACTAAAAACTTATTTTTATCACAACATAAAAATATTATAAAATAAGTAGAAAGTTTTAAGCATACATAACGAGGAACTTTTGAATTTCAATTTAATGTTTACACAACTAATCAGTAATCACCATAAAATTCTTAGTACCTAAATGTCGATAATTTAAAATAAATTATTAAGTACTACAATTATTACTGCAAAAAGTGATATTCCAATGAATTTGTATAAGAGTACCTTTGTTTCGTACGGACGATGTACCATGTACAAAATACCATTTTCATGATCCATACTAAAAATATGCGTAATATGAACCAAAGAACAGTGCTGCAATTACCGGAAGGGGGGGGGGGCATGGAAACTCCCTGCTAAAAGGGCACTATGTGATTAATTTTAAGGCACAATTCCTGTGATTGGATACCTTATGTGTTAGTCTAGATTCAATAATAATAAAAACTATAAAAATTTAAAAATTTAAAATGTTTATCTATTTCATATTTTGTTAAAAATTTGAACTTTGTCTGAGCAATATTGTTTTGTGTTTTCAATTTCATTTATCCAAAAAAAGTTTTTCAATTTGGAAAAACATATAAATATCAGATTATACATGATATTTTATTTTTGTTATTAACAAAAAAATTAAATCGATATTTTACAGTCCAAGGTTTCCTAATTATATTATGGTAAGAAAGTGGTAACCAAGAACACGAAGACTCCCGGGTTTTGACGCCTTGCGGCTACAACCGCGGACCTCACATTAGCGCTGTGCGCTAGTCGAGAGCCGCGGAGGTTCACGGTCGACGTACGGTGGCCCAGTCCGCCGACCGCGCGTCGTCTACGGACCACGAGCACCGGGACCGAGGTCCCGTACCAAGAAGACAGGCCGAGTGCCGCCTGAATTCGCCTGGTCTGGCTGTGCGCTATCCCCACACCGAGTGTTTCTGGTTACACTCAACCTCCGATGATACTACACCGGTATAGCGGCTAGACGCCCGAGAGGAACCGACAACGTACCGGTGACTCGCGCCCCCGGGACGTGGCGGCCGTTCATCAGAGGTTTTCGCCTGTCAGCGAGAATTAGAATAAGCATCTATTGACTTAACCACAAAGTATTCGTAAGAATACAACCACCACGATTCCTACCGGCAACGGACGTCCAGGGGAGTGAACCATCACTGGACGCCCGCGGTGAGTGGCGTCGTTACCGACGGGGCCCCACTCACTCCCGTGGCACTGAAGCGTCTTCAGTCAGACTTTCGCCCCCTCAGAGTCTACCAGTTCTGTCGGCAAAACGGGCATTGGTTTGCCTTAACCGCGGACGGGTGTCCGCGAGGTGCGATATTAATCTCGGCCACCACCCTTTCGAACCATCTTCAGCAAGGACCCGTGTCCTCGGGTCAGTCTGGCCAAACGCCCCGACCCGGATGCCTGCCGAGCCGAGGCGCCCAGCCCAAGCTGACGACAGCCCTACCTTTCAGTCAAAGGTGGGACAATTTGCGACGACCACCCTCGCCTACCGAATTAGGGACTCTAAGCAGACGAGCCATCAGCCGCGAGCCCGTAACACTCACCAAGAACAGTTGTTATTACCCAACGTTAAAATATGATTTTATCACACTATTTAAGAAACATGATGTGACGTCCTTCTAAAAACAAATAATATACATTTATTAATAAAATTGATCTGTTGAATAATTTTATAAACTAAAATACACTATTTTGAACTAAGATCCACTCTTACATTGGATGAAATTTTACAGTTATGACATTATTATTTTATATAATAAACTTGTTGCTCATTATTTATTATGTTCAGTTAAAAATCGGCGAAATAAGTTTGGTCAACCCCATTACATGCAATAGAGGCGGCTTCTTCGACAAATGATTCGAAGTTATGTGTATCTGATGGACTAGTAAAAGTTGGTATGTATGGTGGTACCAATTTCTTATTGTAGAGCATTATCCAATCTATTTTGATAAACCATCTGAAAAAAAAACATTGTAGTTACCTACACTATTTATCAAACAAAAATGTGTAATATATATATTATGTAACACACATTTCAGTCATCTAATGACTAATAGTTATAATGACCATTAAATACTAAACTAATCCTCACACAACTTTTATATCGCGACAGATATTATTTGTGACCATTTTTATACTCAATGTTTACACCAAATTCGTTTTTTTTTTTATGTATTTTAGGAAAATATGTTTACTTTTAATCACCATCGCTCTGAAAATCACGATATTTTTATGGTTTATTTTAAGAAAATGATATTTTAACGAGCAAAACTATATTTACTACAAAACCTAGTTAGGTTGGCTTATAAGTTCAACAAATATTTTCTTAATAATTAAAACTTTACATCGGCGAGTAAGGTTATTTTTTTCTTAATTAATAGTTTTTATTTACAGACCAAAGGTCAAAGTGAAAATATAATATCTAAAGTAGTTTTAGGATGTTTTAATTTATT